GGGGGGGGGGGGGGGGGGGGGGTCTCTAAGACCAAAACATTTAAAGAAATGTATTAAGTTTAATTAGAATTTCCAGAGGGGCTGGGCTAGGGAAGGCCTTGAGGAGGGGTCTTAGAAAAAATCCCTTCTATGGGGGAGGTATAGATATTTTCTGGAATTACACAATTAAAATGAGTGCCTAAAAACTGTTGAGCAGTCTGAACAAGTGTTGGGGGAATGGGTAACCTGCAATGAGCTGTCATTCTATCTTGAGAGATAAACCACGATAAGTTTTAATTGACATAGTAGCATCCACTTTGACCTGAAGAGGGAGGGGCAATGGCCTAGTTGTTTAGCATGCTGGACTCTGGATCAAGCAGTCTGGGTTTGAGCCCTGACTGGTTCATTGCATAATTTTTGTTCTTAGGCAAGAAACTTGACTCTCACAGTGCTTCTCTCCATCCAAGTGTATAAATTGGGGTACTGGTAAATTTAATGCTGGGAGGTAATTCTGCAGTGGACTAACATCCTATCCAGGGGGAGTAGAAATACTCCTAGTTGCTTTATGCTGTGAAAACCAGGATAAGCTCCGGCCTGATGAGCCACTTGGCCCAATGAAGACTTACTTTGGCCTGAGGTTGGACTTAACCTTTGGCTTTGTAGTTCTCACCCCAAGTAGCTTCTTCCTCCATTCCCTGGGAAACCTAGAATTATATTTTCCTTTGTAATGTTCAACAGGTGTTCAAACATGTTATGAAGACTGGTGGTGATAACTGCACACTTGTGTCAAATGAAATTGACTTTGAAACTGAAGAACTCCTAGTTGGGAGCAAGGTCTGTGTAAAAATGATTTCAGAATACCGTACGATGGTTTGCTCATTTCCAACAGTTTAGCGCTGGCATGCAAAGGCCAATCAATTGTCTTCTAATCCTGTTGAACCTCCATTCATTCCTCCAACTATGTATGTATATCTACCTTACTAAGTGGCACTGACATTCTTATAACCTGAGCAGCACTTAAAAATTTCTGTGAAATAGACTGCATTATTTTGAATTGTAATTATTTGACGAGTGCTGAGTAGTAGATTGTACTGACTACATTGTGTTATATTCAAGAGTAAATCACATCAAAATTAATAGTCTTCAAATGTCCATCATCTAATCTGCAAATATTTTCATTATGTGTTGTTCCAGGAAATATCCATACCACTCCCATGGAGGGATCTTTAGTTTAAACAACCCCCCCAGTCCCTCTGAAAATTCATGTTGTTGTTATACTCCGCTGTAAAAATGTGGCCTTTTGAGTCCCCCATCCCCTTTGGAATTTCCCCGTTAACCCTCCTTGGGGTGGGTATGGATATTTCTCTGGAATCACTCATTGCATATTTGTATACTTGTACTTGTGTGTTGTTGTTGTTTTTTTGTCAATAGGCTGAAAGCCATGTTAGCAAGTATTGCCGATCGGAGTTGAAAGGGAAGGAGTGTATTGTTTGTTCAGGACACATGACAATTCACGCCAGTGATGAGTCGGACTAAATATATCAGTACTTGTATGTTGGTTTATGTACTGAAGGCCAGTTTGTAACAAAGTTCAACTCACGCCCACACTGTATCCTTCGACATGGGTCACGGAAACAACGCTTATTATTGTAATACAGAATTGTTGCCGCGCAAATAATGGGTCTAGACTCGTTCAAATGTCCTATCCGATTTTCAGACGAGGAGATAAGAGCCGTTTCTTTGGCGCATTCTTGTTGGTCCGTGTTGAACTACATGAAGGCATTGTAAAACTTGGCTACAACCCGGACTGCTTGATTTTAAGTCCAGTGGGTCATAACGCCTCCCTGGAGCTAAACAGAATCAAAATTTATATATGTCAACAACAATCAAGGTGCGGTATCCAATTCAGGACAATAGGCCAATCCCGAGTTACCTTGCACCTCTGTTTCAAAATGAGTCTTTGTGCAAAACCTTTCATATGAAAATGAGTTTGATTTGCATGAAAATGAACCTGTCGGGGAAACACATTTACATATGAATGGTTTTACACGAAGACTCGTTTTGACACAGAGGCAAAAGG